TATGAAACAGTTACCTCGAAGGGAGAGTAGAAGAGCAGAAAGTAAAAAAAAAAAAAAAAAGAAAAAGAAAAATGTAAATAAAATATTTTTTTAAAAGGGGTGGGGGGCTGGAGAGATGGTTCAGCAGTTAAGAACACTGTCTGTTCTTGAAGAAAACCCGGGTTCGAATCCCAGCACTCACATGACAGCTAACAATTGTCCATAACTCCCGTTCCAGGGGACCTGACAGCCTCTTCTGTCTTCCGCAGGCATTGCATGACACAGTGCACTTACCTATGTGCAGGCAATACAAAAATAATTAATGAAATATTTTAAAAATATTTTTAAAAGTGTGGTAACTCTACAGATTAGGGGCATTAGCAATTAAATCAACAGTCATTTTCACTTACATAAGGAAAGTTGGAAAAAATGCTTTGGGTTTATATTACCTTCCAGCTAATTCTTATATTTATTCAAACATAGCTAAATCTCTCTGTATTAGATAACAGATGAAACCAAAATAGTAACAGCAGCATTAATAACACATAAGGACATCTCTAAAATATGAAGGTACTATAAAGTATAAAAAGATACATCGTAAGCTTTTATCCAAAGACTGAGACAGATAAAATAATTAATTAACATTATAATCTACTAAGCAAATAAGAACATACTTTGAAATATGAGATTTTTTTGTATATCCTTTGTTCTTGGGATCGCATATTTACAAAACTTCGTTTTCAAAAACAAGTCTTTCAATGCTTTTGGTGCTGCTCTGTAGACTTCCATGGGAATTCTGTCCATTACAAGCATGGTAGGCTCACTTCAACTGGATACTAATAGCAAATATTTTTTCATACAAACATTGAAAATTCAAGATTTACAAATTTATTATATTCATATTTTTAATGTTAAGGTTAATTATAATAATCAATGTGAAATAAAAAATAGATACCTCACTCTTAAATAACCTTTGTGATTAGCTAATGTAAGACATATACAAAGAGAGTCATGAACTTTCTTTTAAGATATGCTCTATAGATTGCTATACACAGATGCATTTCATAGCATCACCTCAATGTCATCAAAGATTGTATGGAAATGCAATAGTGCTTTACCACAAAACAAATGATTACCTAAAAGAAGTAATCAGATGTTCTATTTTAAAGAAATGGGGAGATTATGCCTTCTTATTTCGAAGGGTACTAGAGAAGGGGATGTTGGTCCATTTCTCCTTCCTTGTGCATAGCTTCTGTTGTGCAGTAGCATGTTTAGTGCAGCGTTGATTTATTACTGAACTTGATTGTTCTCTACAAATGACTGAGCTTCCCTTAAGGCAAGTGTGTTGTAAGTATGCTCCTCTCATCTGTTTTTATTTGTAACATAATTACCGTACGTTACTGAGTTTAGATCTGTAAATACCATCATCATTTCTGATCACTTTTTCTGACAATATTTTATAAAGTTTGTCTTCCTATTAACTCCTTGTTATAAACATTACTCCAGTGTTGAAAAACATAGAGAAATGGAGAGTTAAGGGGGGAAAACGTTCACACAAATGTCTTGTTCCTATTAGCGATATTGTGAGCCATGAAACCAGAATATTTTATTTCTAGAAAAAAAATGATTATTGTTGTAGCAAGAATACCTTCTGAGCTTGAAGTAATAAAGTTTATGTGATCATGTTTACATGGTACATTTTGTGTCTTAAGTACTTCCTATATTCAAAAAATATATTGTATTCCCTATCGAGTGTCTACATGTTAAAAATGATGGTAGAAGATACTTTAGGAAGAAAAAATATGTAAATACTTGTAATAAAAAATTATGTTGTATTTAGAGACTAGAGAGTAAACAAGCCACACTCTGTCACTTAACAATCACAACTTTGTGAATATATTTTTGAATCTTCAGTCTTGTAAAATATTTTAAGATGGATGAGAATAAAATTTCTACTAATACATATGTATCAATCACTTTGAAATAAGCTTATTTTGTGCTATGTTAGTAGATGAATAGAAAAGGATAATTTAAAAAAGCTATAAAGAGAGAAAATGGACTGAGTAGGTTGAAAATATACTTTATAAAGTTCAAAAGTTTCAGATATAACTCAGTAATTTCATCTACAATCCTGCCAAATAACTTCTTTTTGTACGTTTTTGTTAGAAAGAGTGGGAAATTCCAAGTGTACAGAAGTTATCATTTAACTAAAAGAACCCTAAGGAATTTTCCCCTCTTTCTGTGATTTTATGATCTCTTTAGTGTGCATACATGTACATCCCTTCAAAAGGGAATTTTCAGATTCAGTTTGTATCATCTATGTTTTTCAGAAGAGAATACGAGTAATTACACACAATTACAGAATTGCAGACATTTATAGCACCAGGTTCAAAACAGATACAACTCAACATAAATCCTCCATGTTTACAGCTTTCTAAGTATTTGAGCACTAATTGTGATTTTTTGTTAACATTCCAGAACAGAGCACTTTCAGTGAATGTTTAGAGAATATTTTCGATGATATCTCAACTGATTTCTCTAGGTTTAATATGAAAGTAGAAATAATCACACTGGACATGTTTATGGGTTCCTTTAGTCCCAGCACTTAGGAAACAGAGGCTGAAAGATCTGTGTGAGGCTAAGGAGGCCAACCTGGTAGCATAGCTTGTTCCAGGTTAGCTTTGGTCACAGAGAGATCTTGTGCAAAAAAAGAAAAGAAAGAAAAGAAAGAAAAAGAAAGAAAGAAAGAAAGAAAGAGAAAGAAAGAGAAAAAAGAGAAGAAAATATAATATGATGGTCTTATTTCTTAGGAAGCATCATTTCTAGAGAAAACACTAGAAGCTGCATTAGGAAAGGGGCAGTTGTATGAGAGTGGTATTTTGAGGTGACTGCCAAATCCTCCCCCACTTTTTCATTGTATTGAGAACACTTACATTGTTTTGGCTTCAAAAAATTAAGTTGTCTTTATCTAGTTTTACAGTACTTTTAAGCTCTTTTTGCTTTTCTGAGTCTCTCTCTCTCATTCTCTCTCTTTCTCTTTAACTCTTCAGAATAGTTCAAAGCATAGAAGCAATTTATTTTGTTGTCCCATTGTCTATCCTTCAGGAATTCTGTCTGATAACACATAGTTCAGATTGGCAAGACTGTATTTCTGGATACAGATGACTGTATAGAAGATATTTCAGTCCTGGGGACACTAATAGAGTATATCATTTATACTGAAGGGAAGCATAAAACCATAACGTTTATTCCTACATGGTATTTTCAGGAAAACTGAAGTCCTTACCAAAGCATTCTTTCAATGAAGATCCGTAAGCAGTCATGCACATCCATAAATGATTATATGCATCTATAATAGATTTTTAATGTGTGCCTTTAATAGGAAAAAAAAAAAGGTAACAGCAGTCTCTCCTCCAAACTTTGTCTAAAGCACTAAAAATGTTATCAAGTCCTCTATCAATGACAGAAGGTTCCAGTGCACTGCTTGTTTCATAATACTGGATAGAGCTGACTCTAGTTCTCTGCAGCTCAAGTTGCCAACAAAGGCCGAAATGTAGCTCGAGAGTCAATCCTCCTTTGGTTAACAAATTCCCGCAAAATATCCCCCCCTCCAAAAAAGAAAAAAAAAATCATAAAACAACAACAAAAAGCCCAGGAGCTGTAATGATGTCATATCCGTTGTTCAGGTCCCCACACCTCTTTCAGCAGTTACTCCCTTTATCATCTTCTTGGGTCAAAACTTTTGAGGTAGGCTGGGTTTCTAGCTGCAGGGGAGAGGAGAGACTGGGGAGCACCGGGTGGTGGCGTTTCAGCACCTCGGCCAGCGCCCGCCGCAGCTAGTCCCAGCCTCCTGAGCGCGACTCCCAGCTCTGAGAATGCCTGCGGAATGATCGCCCCCCAGGGCGGCTGCCGCTACTGCCGCTGCTGCCACCGCCTCTGCCTCCACTCTGCTCTGACTGGCAGGCAGAAAGTGCAACGGAAGAGGGAAAGGTCTCCGCAGTGAGTGGAGTGTCTACATAAAACAGAGTAAAGAGGGGGCAAAAACCCAGATCAGAATGCAGGCGACGTCCCGCCTCCTCAATCTCCTGCTGCTGGCTTTACTTGCTGGATTAGACCCTTCCAAGGTAGGGGCAATATTTTGACCTGCTTGAAATAAATGTGTAATATGTAGCAAACCGATCAAGAGGTAAATAAATATTCCCCAAATGGCCCGGGAAACAGCTCTTTCAGCTACCTTCTGGTGCATCCCCAACTGCTTGGAAGATAACAAGGCGAACTATCAGAGGAATAGCTCCTAAAGGTAGAGTCCTGGTGTGAGGGGGAGGGACCAGAGCAAATGTACAGGGACAGCGGGCAATGCGGCTCGCGGGGGAATTCAGCTTATTCGGTGTCCAACTGCTTAATATGCTCTTCTGAAGTAGGACTGGCGATGCAAAGGGCTTTGCACTTAAAACAATGCAGTTTGTAAGCATGTTTTAGGAGATGGTGAGCTGCTTCTTTGTTGAAAGCAGGGAAGCGTTTTCCAGTTGATCCTGGTCAGTAATACTCCCACAGCAGACGTGCTGCGGTTTGTGTCCAAAATATTGGGGATGCTGCTTATAACACTGGGCTGAGGAGCAGCGCTATGCCCTCAGCATGGCAGAGAGGCTTCGGTGAGAGGGACTCCTGTGTGTTTGTTTCTTTTCACTGAAGAAAATTCAGGAACCCTGAGGAAGTTCTGATGATCTGTGTTAAGTAAGAGACAGGAAGTGAGAACCCTGTTAAACTAAGGAGGGCATAGGAAGAAAGGATTGCCTTATAGCTGTGGAACTCTGAAAATTATCCATCAATGAAAGTGAATGCTAAGCTCCTATGGTAAAAAGCAGGGATCAATGGAAATATATTTTCAGGGATGTATGAGAAAAGTCTTAATGATAAAGGGTGGTAAATTCTGGGCTGCAAGCATTCTAAGAACACTACAGTTCTCTGGAGTGAGCGATACCACAACTAATAGAAAGAGGAGGAGACACAACACACTTATTATTTTACTGATTTAGCAAGTCATTGACAATGTGACTATTAGAAAAACGATGCCATATTATAAAAAATCATCTATCTGCATTTTGAATTTTGTGAAGTTATTTTACAACTCGACATTACCAGTGTAATGTAGAGAACTTATGCTTCCTTTCATAATTAAATATAACTAAGATGTAACCAACCACAATCACTTACCATGCTTGTGATATTTCCAGGCCTTCTATAGGATAAGATACAAGCATAATCATATAACATGTGTTGTAGGCTTTTCATATTATGAAGAACTGATGAATAAAACAGTTTTATTCTAAACCTATCATTGTGCTAATGCTGTCGTTCTGAAATCTTTGTACAATGTGTGAGCCATCTTAATGATCTTAAGTACTAAGTTGTAGCTTCAAAAGCATTTCACACCTGAGAAAAATGTGTCAATTTTGTTGATAGATTTTAAAGTCTTCTTTTTATGCCCCTGCATCCATAGTGACATATTTCACTGTCAGTCTCAAATGGCACCAGCAAACTTTTGAAAACATTTTCTCGTGTATTTCATTTAGAATATTCTTGGCAAAACATTTTAAAAGCAAAATTAAATAGACAAGTTAATGCAAAATTACATCACTGGACTTCAAGTGACCTCTGTCATTCTTTCAAAATTATAAAGTATCGATTCTTATTGACAGCTGTATGTTTGATTGGATTTCTCCAGTATCTTTAATATGTAAGCATCATCATTGCTGGCACTCCATCTTTAATCCTGTGTTAAATCTAGAATAACTTCCCCCAGAGAAGCAGTATTCTGTTGGCTAACATAATCTCTGCTAGTTCTTGGTGACATTTCTGGGCATCTAGTGGTATTAAACTTTCCAATTAGGTCAGACTGAACTGTGAGTGTGAGGACTGCTAGCACTAAGAAGGGAAACCCAAAAGAGGAAAGGAATGCATCAACTTTTCAAACTGTCCTCAGTTTCTAGATACACCAGGATAGCATGCAAAGACAAAATCTTGATACCTTTGCTCTGTACCACATGGAATAAGAAAACATTAAAAAACTTCATACTAAGTTAATGTAAAAAATGTTTTGAGGTTGTACAAACTTATTGCTTGCTAGAGGATGAATACAAATTGATTTTATGCTTTATTAAACTATTTTTGGTTACTAAACTATATCAAAAAAAATTGATACAATTGTGTTCTCAAAGTAATTATTGATTAGGTATAAATTTAAGATTTTCTCAATTTTAATTTATTACTATTCTAGATAAAGGTTTAGAGATTTAAAAAAATCAGAATTGTTTTTGAAGAGTGATACTTATTGAAATTAAAAGTAAAATTTCAACAATATAGTACTTCAGAAGACCATAATTTTGGGACAAATGGAAGTCCATTGAAATAATCAGAAATTCTACCCATCTGATTTTTATATATACTAATATATTATGATCATATATCATCATTAAATTTTTTAAAATTTCATTTACTATTTTAATTTTTTTAAATTTTGTGTTTTTCTTTTCAGCATATATAATCACATATATATATATAGACAAATGGCAAAATAATGGAGCTCTTAAAATTTGAGTAGAATTTTCTTAAGGTATGAGAATCTGCCTACATTAGATATTACTATTCTAAATCTTCCCCAGTGCTTCTTGTATTCAATTCACCTTAAACCACAATAATTAACTAAAGGCATTACTAACAGCAATCCCATATTATAGAAGACTATAGAATGCTTATATTTATGGGTGTTATTCTGTGCTTGAATCTTACATATTTTATATGATGGTTTATAAAGTGCCCAGGTATCGCCATCTTATGGTAAGTTACTTGAAAGTCAATTTTATTTTTAAATTAAAAAATCAAACACCTATATTCGTAGAATGAGCTTACTTTTAGCATGTACTTGCTTTCCTTCCTCTCATTTATTATATTATAAAATTTGCAAGGTTCATATTTCCTTGCCAAAGGGAGAGAATTCACCACTAATTAATTATTTGCATTTTCATGTAGAAATATTGATTTTTTTCCTCAAGAAATGTATTTAAATTATATTTTCTTAATTAAAGTCTAATTAACAAGTTTCTGTTCCTTTTAGATAGACACAAACTCATGGACATATGACTTTGTCTATTTTAAGAGCTGCCAATTAATTCAATTTACAATGGAATTTTGAGTTATTGGAAATATGCCAACTCACCAATGACTGAGTACATTTTTAAGAGCTGAAAACCTGTACAAATTCACTTATTGCTCAGTTTCATAGAGAATGGAGCATTTGGTCAGGAAATTCCTGACTGTGGCTGCTAGATGGCATCTCTGTGCTTTTAAACTGAAGGCTTTGAGTTTAGTGATGACCTTGATAGTAGTAGAGTGAGCTTTTTATGCTTTTACAAGAAGAATTTTAACAGAACAATATTTGAACATTATAACACAACATAATCCCCATGAAGCAGAGTCACAAATTGCTCTGGTCTGCAATACTAAAGCATGAGTGTAAGGGGAAATACTGTGGCTGGGAAGATTTCAAACAGCGCATTTATATTGGTGTCTCTTGGGAAACACTTTAAAAGAGGTGACATAGGAAAATCCACACGCTGTAGAAAAAGTTAGGCTTAAGGAAGTCATAGTTGTATGATAAATATATTGCCAAATGTCATACTAGGAGAATCATGCTTAAGTTGAAGAAACACACTATCATCCCCCCTAAAATATGTTAAACTTATCACCATGATATCAGCTTACACTGTAGGCATAAACTATAACAATGATTCAGCAATGCTCTCCAACACCAAACCATTCTGTTCTATCCAAGATAGCAAAGGCAATCAGAACTCTTCCCTTAAATAAGAAAATTGTTATGAACTCGTATAAAGCGTGATAAGAACTAAGGCAATTTCAATTATAGTGTTAAATGCTTCACAATGTCTCTACAACAGGATGAACCTAAATTAGAACAGAGAAAATGGATCCATGATGTTTGGCACGGATCTGCAATTACACACAGAAGCTTTGATATGGTAAATGTCTAGAGTTTAAGGCAGACTGTATTTTGAAAGAACAAACAACTTTCTACTCTCACTTTGTCTCAGTCTTGCTTAACCTAATTGAACTTTTATTATGGATAAAGTAAATATTGTTCTTTACTCTTCCTCCAGGCAAGCTGAAAAGATTAAAAATGGTAGCAATTTCCTTCATTTTTTAAAATTTGTATTCTTTGTAGTTCTGCAACTGACACTTGTGCTGATTTAATGACATAGGGTTGCACCCAAGGTCAATCATTTCTGATGGTGACTTTTCTATTGATTATATCACACATGCACACACACACACACACACACATATTGATTTAACCATGATATCAAGAACCCTACATGTTAAACAAAAGCCTAGAAATTTTTTCCATGTGTATGGGTTGCATGTGCATGTGTTTATACATGCTCACATTAGTTTGAGATCGTGTGTGTGGGCAAATGTAGGTATAAGCATGTGCATAGACAGATGTGTATGTAAATGTATACCTAGGCACATGTGTTGTACATGTGTGCATGGAGACCAGAGGTTGATGTAGGCTATCTTCTTCCACTAACCTCCACTGTATTTACTGAGACAGGATTTCTCATTGAACTTGGAGTATACTATTCAGTTAGTCTAACTAGTCAGCTTGCCCAAGAGATTCTCTGTCTAGACCTCCATAATTTGATACAATTACAGGGGGCTGAAATGCCCACTTAGCTGGAGTTCCAAACTCTGGTCCTCACTATTGCATAGCCATAGATAGACAGATAGATAGACAGATGATAGATAGATGATAGATAGAGATATACATAGCACAGCATATATATATATATGTCTTTTTGATACATAGTCTCCTATAGCCTCAGCTGGCCTGGAACTCAGTATGTAGACCAAGTTATATCTCACAGAGATCTGCCTGTGCCTACTGAGTGCTGGGACTAAAAGAATGCTCCACCATTCCTGGCTTCCCAGCTCAATAATCTTAAAACACTACTGTCCTTTGTCTTCACACATTTGCCATGTGTTCAAGCTTCTTTCCAGTCACCCATCAAACCTTGCTCCTGACAAGATCATTTATCAATCTAGTGGA